TTTTTTTTTTTTTATTTAAGATTCGGGCCCTTTATGTTGCCCAGGCTAGCCTTAAACTTGAGATCATTTGGCCTTAACTATCCCAAGTTGCTCAGCTCTTAGGTGCATGTCTCCACACCTAGCCTTCCAGCACTCATTTTTTTTTTTTTTTTTTTAAGACAAGGTCTCTCTGGGTACATTCCTTTTTCTTTTTCTTTCTTTCTTTTTTTGGTTCTAGGGCTCGAACTCAGGACGTTGTGCTTGCCAGGCAAGCACTTATTCCACTGAGCTATCTCCTCAGCCCCCATTACTCTTTCTTTACTCCATTACAATAAGGATCCTGATCTAAGGTGTAAGCAACTTGAGGGAGTCTTTTTCTTCATCCTCTTCTCCCCAGTCCTCCCCTTTTCCCCTCCCCTCCTCACTACTTTCTCTCTTCCACCATCTCCTTCATTTTTATTTTTCAGGGCCTCTCAAAGTCTGTTTCTCAGTAGGTATTCACTCAAGTAATTATAGAATGAATGAAAGAATACATACATGTCTTATAAATTCATAGAATTCCTTAGGGATTTGTGGAGAGGCTTTCTTTCTTTCTTTCTTTCTTTTTTTTTTTTTTAAGAGGCCTTCTTACTGTTTCATATAAGCCTAAAAGTTACCAGAAATGAAAAGTTCTGTTCTTTTCTCTCTCCTTCTTCCTATCTCATTTGTTTTCCTGGCACTGAAGATTGAACTCAGGCCCTTCCCACTGAGCTATACTCCAGGGCTAGACTTGAATATGAGAGGTCTTGCCTCGGCCTTCCAGGAGCAGGCATGTGCCACCAGGCCTGGTTTCATCTTTTTATAATAAAACTTGCAAATTTATCCCTATTATTCTCTAGAATACAATAGTAACTCAGAACAGAGTTGCTGAATTGAACAACCTTGAGTGTATGTAAGGTATCAGGGAGCGGGGTGTAGATCAGTGGTAGAGCACAGGCAAGGCTGAGTTGGATCCCAGGCACCATTTAGAGGAGAAGTATATAATGTCTTCATAATGTAATGCTTACTTTCTCCAGACTCACTTTGTGCCACTCCCACTTTATCCTCCAATGAGCAACAGTACATAATTTTCATTCAGTGCATCAAATATTTACTCAGGCACCGTGCCAGGCACATTGGTATACTACTTCAAACAGCCCCATTTCTTTTCCTGCTACCCTTCATCCTGGAAACCAACCGGTAAATACCATAATTCATGTGGTTCTCCTACTTTCTGACATTAGTTCCTTTACCTCCACAAGAAGGCATCCTGATGGCCGGGGAGATGGCTCAGTGGAATAAGTGCTTCCCCAGCAAGCACAAGGGCCTGAGTTCAATCCCCCATTCCACCAAAAAAAAGAGAAAGATGAAGGCATCCTGGAGCTGGATGTGGTGGTGCATGCCTGGAATCCCAGCACTTCCAAGGCTGAAGGGGTTTGCCATGAATTTGAAGTCAGCCTGGGCTACACCAGAGAGATCAAGGCCACTGCACTATCTAGTGAGATCCAGTCTGAAATAAGCCAAAAAAAAAAGGCATCTTTATCTCATTAATACTCCGTGCTTGCCTGTCTTAGGCAAAGTGAAGATACCTGCGTTCAAACGTCCCCCAAACACTTGGAAAGAGGCTTGAAAAAGTTGAGAAACTTGCTCAGGGTTATACTGGTGTAGCCTGTGGTTACAGGAATCTTAAGAACGACAACACTAATTCTACAAGATTAAGATGCCATCTCATCTGATAGTTTTCATTTTGCTTTTGCCAAGTGTTTTCTCCTCTAGGCCAAAACCTCCATGTCTATTAGAATTGAGGTGGAAGTCCTGAGCAACATAGTAGGGCCAGTGAGAAGGGCAGTGATTCCAAATGGAACGAGGAAGCTACGAGGAAACAGTGCAGGATTTTGCCGGGGGAAGATCTTGCTCATCTCTTAGGATACTGAGACTTGTGGAGTTCGGTTGCTCACAGATAACAGGGCTATGGGCCACTGTTGCCCACAGCTAAAATGCCTGCCAATAAACATGTTCTTTGAGGGGTTTGTCCTCTTCGCTCGCTATTATTTTCAGTAAAAACGACAGTGAATAAAATTTAGTAAAAGTTGGACTTTCTTACTAAGAAGGTAAAATAGTAATGGGTAATTTATAAACGTCCGACCAAATTACTTCTTGCCCTTAACCAAAATGGTCATTAAAGGGTCTCCCAAGATTTGAAGCTTCGAGCCCTCAACTAAGATGGCACCCAAAAGAAACATTGAAAATTAGCTTGCCCTCTTTTCTGCCCTCAACAAACATGGCTTCCATAGCGTCATTCACGTTGCTACCCCGGACTACGGCAAGAGAGAAGGGGTAGGAGGGCCCTTGAAAAGGGTGCGCGTTCCCGCGGCGGTGCACCGGGTAGGTTTCAGTCAGAGTCACTATGGCGGCTGGCGCTGGCAAGGTAAGCTGAGGCGGCGGCGTTGGGTGGGGAGGCAGGACCATTCGTAGCAGCTTGGCTCCAAATCCACGACGCCTGACTGAAGAGAGGTCGGCCGAGGTCGTGGCCAGCGGTCAGGGCGGGCGGGTGGCTGGCTGAGGGGCACTAGCGCTGAGGCGGGCGGGCACCGGCTCCTGACGGCCGTTTGTTTTGGTGTTTTTCCTACCAGGTCGGAAAGTTTCCTGCCTCGTCGGGCACAGCCTGAGCTTACCCCACCGGCCACGCGTGGTGGAGGCTGCGGCGGACCCAGCCCAGGGCCTCCAGGCCTCTCCCTTAACCTCCGGGCCGGTCTCCCTCCCCCACCTCGCGTCCTCCGGGAGCTGTGGCTGCCGCCCCTGAGATGCGACCCTCCTGGGGCCGCTCCTGACCCGAGGCGAGCCGAGCGCTGAGCCGCAGCGGGAGCCCGGGACTCTCCGAATCAACTTCCCGCCGGGCCGGACTCCCGAGCCTCCCGGGGGAGCGCCTGGTTCGGTTCGCGCCGGCCTGCAGAGCCGGGTTCCCGCCCTGGTCGCGGGGACGCCCGCCAGGTGCCCCGGCGTCGCGACTCCGCCGCCGCTGCGCCCCTGCCGGCCCGCAGTCCTCGCGCCTAGGACGGCCGCGGCGGCTCGAGCCTCGCCCGGGATCCCTGCGCGCTCGGGGCGGCCTCCGCGCAGCGGGGCAATGCCGACCGGCCGGCCGGCCCTGTAGACCCCCTCGCTTCCCGCTTCTCCCGGCGCTTAGCGGGCGGCGGCGGCGGCAACGGCTGCCCAGAGGCGCTCGGGTGCACCTTCCCTCGGCCCGGAAAGACCTTCCCCGCGGCTCCGACCCGACCCGTCCTTCATGCTGCAGTGCCGCAACGTTTCCGCCACCGAAAGGGAGAAGCGGCCGCGATCTCAAACAAAACCCAAGAATCGGTGTGTGTCTCATCTGCGTGGATATCTTCAGCCCCCAAACTGTCTTCCAGGAGTTTTCTCGGTCGAAGCTGCCCGATGTTTGAACCTTTTCTTCCCAAGGAAAATGGACTGAAAGCTGGCAGTTGGGGACGTTTTGTGATCAGGGAGTTGTGGTGTTTTAAAGGAGGTGATGGAGATTGCTCTGACTTGTCTTCCCACCCAAGTGAAGAGCTGTTAATGTTCCTTGGTTATGCCTAGACCATGTGCAGTTTGTTTTAATTTAAAATTTTGGGGGGGATAGAAGTATATAGACTTGTGAAGAGCATTCCGAATCTGGAGGAACTCCTCGTTGTCCTTGGTAGCCAAGACCAACCCAGTCTGTCCTCCATGCCGTCAGCCTTGGCCATCTTCACTTGCCGCCCAAACTCGCACCCGTTTCAGGAGCGTCATGTCTACCTGGACGAGCCCATCAAAATCGGCCGCTCAGTGGCACGCTGCCGACCAGCGCAGAATAATGCTACCTTTGATTGCAAAGTGCTGTCAAGGAACCATGCTCTCGTCTGGTTTGATCACAAGACGGGCAAGGTAATGTCACCACGCTAACAGTCTTTTTGTCTCTCCCATCCTGTCTGAGAAGCCTAAGGTATGCAGGATCCCAGGGTTTGCCTCCAGAGGACACTTTCAGCAAGGCCAGGGATCAACTTTTTCTGTGCCTAATTCTAGTGAAAATTTAATTGAGTTGGTTGAATGGCAAAGAGAGGCAGTATTGTAATTAAATGCCTCGGGAGGGCGATGGCTTCCTGATAACATGGTCCTTCCCGTGAAATCCCAAACCCTAATTCATTTTGGAAAACTAGATAGTGAAACTTGGCACCTTGCTTTCAGTCCTTTTAGAAAGGTGAATCTGCAGTTCAGTGCTTGATTAAGCGAGTAGCAGTTCCCAAAGCAATTCAGAGAATCTGGCCAGTATTATTACACTGGGGCTCTAGTGCCTGGTAGTGAAATGTAGTTAATTGGTAGATTTTACTTGAGTTCATTCAGGGCTTTCTAGTAAGGATAATTTCTTCTGTAAAGTTAATTTTTTGGAAAGGTTTGATTCATATTTACATTTTCAGGAATAATTTGTAGTGATTAAAAGTAATAATTTAGCATGAACAACTATGTAACTTCACATTTTCAAATTTTGTTTATAAGGCTTTTTTCCCCCTTTTTGAGGCAGGATCTCACTGCAATTCAGGCTGGCTTTGAACTCACTCTAGACTAGGCGTCTTCTAAGTTATGTGACCATACAGCTGTTGTTTTTGAAAAATCACCTTTTGATGTTCCTTACATCACTTATTAAATAAACAGTGCCTACTTAAAGGGTGATTTTCAAATATCAGTGTTAGAAAATTTTCTGAAATTATATCCAGTGCTATCATTAATGTTACTTAAATGTAATGGGATATTTTCAATGAAGCCACTGTAGCATTTTTACATTAGCATTGTAATTTACTACACATATGTCCTTACGTTTTAGGAAATCATGAGTAAGATCCTTTTAGTTTTTACATTACTTGTTGTGTGCAAAGTATACCAAAGAGCTTATCTTTGGGTGTAAACCTCAGGTTTTAAAGTACTTTTCTTTTTCAAGAGAAAAAAAAGATAACTACTGAATCAATTCCAACTTAAAAGTGAGTTATGTAAGACTAATAGAAATAGCTCAGGTTTCATCTCCTGACTTTTTGCCCCCGCTAAGTTAAATGATTAAGTTTTTCTTAAATCTTTTTAAGATCTTTTAAAAGCTGGGTGTTAGGGGCCGGAGAGATGGCTCAGCAGAATAAGTGCTTCCCTTGCCAGGGCCTGAGTTCAATCCCCGGTTCTGCCAAAAAAAACCCCAAAACCCAAAAACCAAAAAAAGCTGGGTGTGGTGATGCATGCCCATAATCCCAGCAGTCTGGAAGGCTGAGGCAGGATGATCCACAGGAGTTCAAGGCCAGCCTGGGCTACATAGTGAAGTCAAAGCTACCCTGAACTATGGTAAGACCCTGTCTCAAAAACAAAAATAGAAAACATAACAGAGTTTTTAGTCTTCAAGAATAGTGTTTTGAAGTGAAAGAAACTTGAACTTCAAAAGAGAGAAAGCTATATTTCTACAGCTTCTGAATTAAGGAATTAATAAATTATCTTTTAAAGAAAGGAAGAAAAGATTGCCCAAGTGCTATGCTTGTGTAATACCTATAACCTATTCTGAGTGTAGGATGAGAATTAAAAAGTATGTTAATTTTTCTTTATAACTCCAGGTGCTCACTTATCTTTGGAACAGACTTTTCTCCTTGGAAACTGACTTTTGGGTGCCTCAAATTCGTAGATTACCTGTAATCCTTTAAAATGAGTATTCATAGAGATCATCTTTCCACTTATCAGTTAACTACTCCTGCCTTAATTGGACCAACTTTTATATCTTTGCCTTTTTATGTCTTTGGGTAACAGGTCACCTAATAGTACATAGGTTCTCTTACAGTAAAATTGGATAATAGATTTACTTACAATACATAATTTGCAAATGTACGTTCTTTGATTCAGCATTTAAGGGAGACTCTGTTTTGTTCTGCTTTTTTGTTTTTAAATTTTAAGAAGTGCTTATATGCATAGTACATTGCATGGTTGTACTGCCTAATGGATTATTTTGAAATGACTAGGAGTAGATAAAATATTGAATACAATACTTAGCTATAAATTCAGATGACATGTTAACATTTTGAATGAAACTTGTTACTTAGAAAAACTTACCTTTGGGCTGGGGGTGTAGCTCAGTGGTAGAGTGTTTGCCTCACATATGCAGGCCCTGGGTTTGATTCCTAATGTTGCAAGAAAAGAAAAGAAAAACTTGCATTTGCAGGGTAGACTTGGTTTATTTCTATTATTTTCTTTTTCTTTTTTTCTCACTCACTAGCTAAAATAACAATTGCAATATTAGGCTGTTACTTTATGTAAACATAACTATTGATTATTGTTCCAACTAATATAGTTAAAACAACCGCCGATCTTGCCATATAATCAACTTGTTTTATGAATTAATTTTGTGTGTGTGTGTGTGTGTGTGTGTGTGTGTGTGTGTGTTGCTCAGGATCAAACCCAAGGCCTTGTGCATGTAAGGCAACTACCACTAGCCACATCCCCAGCCAAAGAGTTAACTATTTGAAACTTTTGTTTGGACAGATAGTTTTTTTGTTGTGCATCTATTGTGTGCCAGACACTGAAATGTACTAAAAAAAAATATTGATTTGAACAAGTATCGTGTGTTGCTTTCTTTTTTTTTTTTTTCTTTCATGTATTGCTTTTTATGTGAAATAGTTTGAAGATTTTTACTGAAACTGGCTCATAATAGAAGAAAACAATTTCTATGCATAACAATCCCTTTCTGTATTAGGCAAGTTGTCTTTTTTTTCTTTTTATTTGGATTTTTTTTCTTATTTATCTCACTGTGTGGTCCAGGCTGGCCTTGAACTCACTACATAGCCCAGGCTGGCCTTGAACTCAGGACCTCAGCCCTGAGTGCTGGTAATATAGGCATGTGCCACCATGCCTGGCTGTTTTTTAAACATTTTTAAGGCCCCAGGTTTCTCACATGGAAGTAATTATGGTACATACTAGTGTGTGTGTGGTCTAACCTAGGGCCTTGACCATCCTAAGCACCCATGCTTTCACTAAGTTATACCTTGCAGTCCCCGCACTCTACTGTTCTGAAGATGGAGATAGTGTAAATCACTCAGCACTGTGTGCTTGTTTCTCTCTCTCTTTTTTTGTAATAATCTTTTCTTGAGACAGGGTTTCACTATCTAGTTCAGGCTAGCCTTGAACTCACTTTGCAGTCCAGGAGTGGCCTCAAATTCCAGGCGATCCTGTCTCATCCTCCTGAATGTTGGCATCACAGCTGTGCACCATCATGCCCAGCTTTTTTGTTGTTGAGTCAGGATCTTGCCATGTGGTACAGGCTGGCCTTGAAATGGTTTATGTATCCCAGGTTGGCTTCAAACTCATGGTACTTATCCTGCCTCAGCTTCCTTATAACACACCTGGCTTGTGCACTTGGCTCTTAATTAAGGACTCAGTACTTGGCAAAGATGTTTATAGGGGAAGAAGGAACCATGTAGATGTTTTGCTTTTGCAGTTATACTGTGGAGTGTTAAGGTAGTAAGAAATTAATATTTAATATGATGGCACAAGTGAAATGATTTTAAAAATAGAAACTAATGAAATTGATAAATTTGACAGGCATTTTTAAAATTTTTAAATTGATAAATTTCCTAGGCATTTTGTCTAGGAAATGGAAAATTGAAGTAATAGTTTTGATTGACCTTCAGTTTGTGGGTGACTTACACCTTACATTGGCTGTTATAGGAGGTCCATTAAAAGTTGGAAGAAATGATGAACATTTGAAACTTCTTGATTATTCAGGTAATACATGTTGTAGAAAATTCACAAAATGTAAGCAGATGGAAATGTATGTGCCACTGTTTAATGCTGAATTAATGGAATGTCTTACTGTACTTAAATCTGCACATTGGAAAATGACAGGTTTGCCACGAAGTAGAATTTAATAATCTTCCCCAAATCATCTTCTCAAGGATGTAACAGTTGCCTTGTGTGGATGTTGGCCTTGCGTATCATCCTTAGTTCTTTTTTGGAGTCCAAACTCTTCGACTCAGATACCAGCATATTAGGGCCATAATATTGAAGGCCTTCAATGAATAGCATATAATATTGAAGGCTTTTTAATTTTTCAATCAGTAGTCTAGTCCCTCACTGTAGTTTATTTAATAATTATTGTCTGCAGCCACTCTCATTTTTTGCCTAAGTTCAGTGTGTAAGTTTGAGTACTGTTCTAGCATGATCTGTAGTGGTGAGGGGGCAGGAATTTGGAAGAAGTTTTTATTTTTTTACTAAGATAGTATATATTGGATCAAAAGGTTGGTTATACACTGTGAAAACAGTTAATTGAGATAATATGTATGTCTGAATGACACAAGAGTCAGGTGTTTGAATTAGACTTTAAAATTGGTAGAGGCTGGGGATACAGCTCAGCTACACAGTGTCTGCCTGGCAAGTGCAAGGTCTAGTTTGATTCCCAGTGCCAAGAAAACAAATACAATAAAATAAAATCAGTGTAAGAAATAGATGTGGCGCACACCTGTAGCCTCTGCACTTCGAAAGCTGAGAAGGATTATTGAGTTTGAGGCTACTACAGGAGACCCTGTCTCAAAACAAAAAACCCAAAACAAAACAAAAATTGTTGTGGATAGATTCAAGTTAGGACAAGTTTGTTTTTTAAATTGTTTTCAGGAGATTTGGGTGGGATAAAATGAAACCAGAAATTTTTTTTTCCCCCAGAAAAATTTTTTAAAAAATATTATATTTGTTTGTTTGTTTGGTTCAGGGTCTCTCAGGCGGTTTAGGGCCTACATGGGATGTAGTACTGGGTATCAAACGCAGGTCCTTGTGCTTACCAGGCAGGCTCTTAAACTGCTGAGCTATCTCCCCAGTTCCAGAAACCAGAAAATTTTGAATGAGCTCCCTAATGCGGAGGACACAGATTCTGTTGA